AAAAAAAAAAAAAAAAAAAAAAAAAAAAAAAAAAAAAAAAAAGTAGATCGTCCCACAAAAATTTCGAAAAATCCACTTTTTGACTGATTGCCAAGCCATCCCTCGCAAGGTACCCAAAGGTCGTCGTTGCGATACCTACCTTAAACATCGTCGATGGGCGCGTCCGCACGCGGAGGTGTGTCGGCCGTGATGATTTCATGGGGTGCAGTCGCGTGACCTCGTGCACCTGGCAGGTAATAGACCAGACAGGACACCCCGACGAGGAACAGGAAGAAGAGGAAGACGAGGTCGAACATCAGGAGAGAGTTCAGGGTCATTAACTGCATCGTGCGAGTGCAACCACCTCAGCAAGTGCATTACAAACCACTACCACTGAGTTCCTTATCGCCGATATCTTGGAATTTCGATTGAGTATTTCAAACCTTTCACTTTACTTTATCTTGACCCGTGGCTCTTTGCCGACGCACTGGCGGAACATGAAAGAAAAAAAAAAAAAAATAAGACCACGTTCACCCGGTAACTTCTCTCACAGCGTCATCGCGAACTGACACCTCTTAGCAGGGTCTGAGTCTGCACCCAAATTCCCCTTATCGCGTATCACCATGTAGGGTCGAGTGACACGTTTTCGGCCACGAGTCCTCGTTAACGCGTCACTTGGGGTTTAAGCCTCGAGACAGTGGCGCACTCTGCCGTCGGTCGACGGACTTAACGAGCACTGAAATAATACGTTGCGAATAGTCCGACAAGGAGCTGCCGATCTGCAAGGTGGAAGTGAACAGCGTGACGAGAATATTTAATAAAAAAAAATATTAATAACGAAACATGGAAAAAGACGGTACTGAACCAGGCTGAGAAAAAAATTTATATAATCGACAAAATACTAATCAACCTCGTGCTAGTTTTAAGAAAAATCAAGAATCTTAAGTTTAGTATACAGATTGAGTCTTCCTCGCATGGAAAAAAGGAGAATGGCAATGATTACTGGTTCGGTCAGCAGCGAGTCCCAATTTTCAAGTATTCGTCATTCGACCCGGTCCGAATTACCTTCGCAAGTACCACCCACTCAACCCAGGGGTTCCTAAAGAAATCGCTGGTTGACGGTTCCCCGGAAATCGTGTTTCTCGGCAAGATCGCGCAATCTCGTTGAATTAAGGGAACGGAATCGTGATCGAAAAGTTAATTAAAAAGTTTGTTAAACTTGGAGGACGCGCGAAGATTCTCGCGAGGAAAGACTCGAAAAAGCAGAGAGTGCACCGCGGCCGTGAATCACGACTGAGCTTTGCACGTTGATCCGAGTCTCTTAATTGTCCCACGTGCCTGAATCGTCCAAGTCCAAACGAGCGAATATCTTATGACTGTACTACGAGCGACGGGTACCCGACGACGGTAGATACGTCACTGGACTATTCGAGCTTGATTACGAAAATGTTAAAGCCGGCTAATTACGCTCCTCAATTAGTCCCGAACACAGAAGACGTTCGTTTACAACGATTAACCGCACCCGTTATAGTAATGCCCAATCCTACGCGTAACGTTCTTATC